CCCTAGCGAACCCTAGCAAATCCCCCGCCCCTCCCCCCGATTCAGCTTCGTCGATGGTGAAATTTGACCTCGCTCGACAGGATTTTTGATTGGCCCCGCAATCCTCAATCAAGTGCTCAACGATGGGTCCCTGCTCGACAAGCCCGAGCTGAGGAAGGCGAAGCATAGCGCGCACAAGACGGCGGTTGCGTGCCGAGTCGGCATGCAATTCCGAAGGCCAGATCGCAGACAGCGATCTGGCCTGTGCTTCTCGTTCCCTTTAAAAAGAGCTGTGACAGCCTTCCAGGGCGCGACATGGAGCCAACGAGATTCTCTCATCATCTCTCCGTCCGCTCGACCGTACGATTGAAGCGCGCATCGAGGTGCTCAATCTTTCGCATCAAAGTGACGTGTACCATTGCCTACTCAAAACGTCAAAAGGCTCGCGCTGGACCATTCTCACCGACGGCTAAAACAGTCCATCTGCGCGCATGCACAATCAATCCCAATCGCTCTCCGACTCATCCTCCTCTTCGCTCTTGCCTTCTGCGCCTTCCTCCTCCGTTCCGCTCTCCCCCTCCTCCTCCTCCTCATCCTCGTCGTCGTACGACTTGGACTTGACCTTTTCTCCTCTCATGATGGCCATTTGACCCGCAAGGCTGTTGACGACGCACATCGAACAAGGCATCAGCAGCGACTCGAGCATCGCCTCACACGCTCCCACTCACGTATCCTCGTCCGGGTCCGAAATCTCATCTTCGCGGATATCGTCTTCGAGCACGCTGGGGTCTTCCACTTGCAGCTTGACCGGCAACTTGGCATCGCTTCCCAAGAAACAGTCGCTCTTGAGCACCGCGTCAAATGTGTACAGTCCGGGCTGAGGCGGAGCTTGGAATTGCACCGAGTACGTCCTGATCTTGTCCGGGCCCACATCCGTCACCTTAGTCGGCTGAACAATGACGCGCGATTGCTTATTGTCGGTGATCAGCACCCACCAGTGCGGTTTGCGCTCTTCCAAAAAGTGCGGCGCTCGAGCCACGCCGACTGCCTGCTTGCCTTCTCTGGAGCCCGACTTGCCTTCGGTGCGTCCAATCAGGTGATCCAAAGAGACCTCATCGTCGTCCTCGTTCGAAGGTCGAACGCTCGAGTCTTCGTCTCGGTGGGCCTGCTCGACGCTCGAGCGCGCTCCCTCCCTCAACATCGTCGGGTCTTTCTTGAATGGCACCGTTCGCAGCTTGACGACGTACTGGACGATGGCACCCGCCGTGACCAGCTTTTCGCCATTCACCTTAAAGAAAGCATCCACCAGTTCTACGCGGGGCCATTCCCCAGCGACTTTCAGCGTCTCGTCGTACTGAGCCTCGGAAATGCCCTCCTTGCCAACGCCGAGCAGCTTTCGACGCTGCGCATCTTCCATCTTCCAGAAGCCTTGCAGACCCTGCTCTCCAAGCTTGCTCTTCTTGACGAGCGTGCGCGCAGCTGACCACGACACGTTGGGCAGCTGCATCAGCTCTGCGGCGGCTCTGAAGTCCGTAGCGGGCGGTACGGCCTGCACGAAGCACTGATGCATGTCCATGAGCAGCAGCGTCAAGTCGGACCAACTGTGCGCGAGCGTGATGGCGAGCATGCCATTGAGGAGCCTTTCGGCTTGTGCGCCTACAACGTACCGCTGCTTGTCCAGTGTGCTGTTGTTGATGGGCACTCTGAGGAGGTAGGCGTACAGCAAGACCAAAGTTTTGCGTATGGATTGCGTGCGAAACTCTTCGATAAGGCCCCAACGAGGCCCGAAAGCTTCCAGCTCTGATCTGACCTGCTTTTCGACGCGCGCCAACTCCCCCTCGTTGACGTCCTTGCCGCGCTTTTCGAGTTTGGGATCGACAAACTCTTCCGATATGGCAATGAGGGCGAGCACGCGCGCAGGTGGCGTATCTTCGCGCAGATGCTGAAAGAAGTTTTGAGCCGTGTGATTGATGATGCCATCCTTCGTGCGTGCTCGCGAGCCGTACCACCACCGCGCGACAAGGTATGGCAGCAGCAAGCCAAAGACGAGTCCGTAGGCGCCCAGCACCCAGACATTGTTTTGCGCCTCGATGACCCACGTAGGCAGTGCGATGCCCATGCTCATCTCCTGTCTTCCATCCGGATGTCCATACAATTCGAAATTCTTGCGTATCGTCTCGTCCGTCAGAGCCTTGTATGCCTTTGTGATGGAGATGAAGTGCTCATCCGCCTCTTCTTTTGTTTGATTGGGACCAAGAACCAGCTTGTCTGGATGGAACTTGATGCTGAGCTTCTTGTAGTGCTTTTTGATCTCCTTTTCAGTGGCACCCGTCGCGATGCCGAGAATGTTGAACGGATCGTACACGGCGTGCGAAGAGTTGGAGGAGGCGTTGGCGATTCGCTGGACGAGATATGCCACAGCGGCCCAGCCGATGGTGATGAATATGAATCTGCGGGCACGTAAGGAGGAGAGCGCGATGGTTGAGGGGGCGGGGCGGGGGAGCAATGGCGCGCACTGCAGGGCCCGTGAAACGCACCTCTTGCTAATCTTTGGGTTGGTCAACGTCCTCCTCCTGAATCGGCGAATCGCATCGATCTTTTGTCCCCTCGCATCCCACCAGCCCTGCTTGCCAGCCTTGGAAGTCCGGCTGGCGAGCAGCGAGTAGGTCAGAGGTACGAGCACCAGGAGCAGAAAAGTCAGCACAAAGGTCAAGAATTGACCGCCCTCCTCGTCGTACTTGTAATTGTTCGACGACATTGCGCAAGCGGCCGCTGACAGATCGTAGCGTTGACCAGCCTGAAGATGATGAAGTGGAGCGGGCGCAGCGCTGAGCAGTCAGAGTTGCCGTGTGTTTCGAGGTCAAGAATCAGAATGACGAATGTCGAGTCACAGTGTCGTGCAATTCATGCTCCTTCGTCGTAGCGGTCGTGAGGTGTGACTCTTGGCGCACATATGCAACGCTCACATGAGCGCCAGCAGATGTACATACAGTATACAGCAGTCACGAGTATGTGACCTGTGCGCGACATAAACGCCGGCGTGAGTCCCATTGAAGCGCTGGTTTGAATTTCGCTACGAAATTTCAAAATCCTGAACGCCGTTTGTATTCTCATAGCGACTTAACCTGAACACGTGGCTCAAGATACGCACGGTGGGCTTGCGGGCGCGCGTGCGGGCGCACACGCCCACTCAAGACTCAAGACTGACCTGACCTTCTAGCGCTCGCCTGGACTTGCGATCCGACCATCCCGTCACAGCGCGCGCATTGGTGATAAAGCGACTTCCATATCGCCAATGTCAAAGAACTTCTCGCGGAGATACTTACACACCCTACTCGGGCTCCATTGCGACGCATACATCCGATTTACAGTCTTCTGTCGCACCTTCCTCAGGCGTCCAAGCTAGGGTCTCCGCCGGGCAATACACGTAGCGCACGAGTCCCCACACCACGCTCGGCTCCTCAAGATGAGCACGACCGAGTCTCAATTGGCAGGCGAGCCGTACACGAGCCGATCGGCAGTAGAAGTCGGCGCTACGGGAGCAGCTGTAGGCGGAGCTGGAGGGCTTCTCCTCTCTTCCGTCAAGAACAGTCTTCAAACGCACAAACATGGCGCTCTAGGTATCTTTACCAGGACTGGTCATCACATCGCAACTTTGGCAGCCGTGGCTGGCGCTTTTGCTTATACGGACGCTTTTGTGGCTAATCAGCAAGAGGAGGATACGTACTTGAATGCGGCTGCGGGTGGATGCGTGGCTGGTATCATCCTCGGAGCTAGCAGTGAGTGGACTGTCTCCTCGCGATGTGTAGGAACGTCTTGCGCCTGCCCGGATCAAAGAAGCACCCAGCAGCATCACGCATTCAAGATCCATTGTCTCACCCCATCAAACTGACCCTCACTTGCGTCTCTCCGATGCGCTAGGACGATCTCTCCCCTTTGCTGCAGGGTCCTGTCTAGGTCTTTCTGCCCTTCTCGGATCCTTCAACGCAGCGGGCTCAAGTCTTCGAGGTAGATGGGCGCACGCTTCTCCACTGGACTCGGCAGCTATGGGAGGCTCTGAGCAACATGGCGATCACGGTGCTGCAGCTGGCTCCTTTGGATGGAGAGAAGAGCGCGAAAGGAGGCGCGCACACTTCTTCAAGGTCAGTTTGGCCAGGGGTGCACTACGAGTCGGCAGTGCTGGATCGCGAGGTGTCGCGGAGGGAGACGGCTCGTATGCAACATCAGGTAGACGGAGCCTGTCCTCGTTGGGGAAAGTGGCATTCTTCGTATTTCCTGCTAGAAATCGCTGACGCCTACCTCTCACCGCTTCACAGCCAAAGGAAGAGGCGCAATAGAGGCGCAAACACACCGATCTATTGACTGCGCAAGAGTTCCAAACGCATACAATCACACACGCAATCGATGTCTTCGCTAGCGGCAAAGAGACGCAACGGCGGCAATTGTGCGGGTACCGATCGTTTGCGGACGAGTGTGCAATGCGGAAGATTGAAAGTTCGCTGCCTGTCGAGCACTTGGTGCTTCGGCTCAGGCAGCGACCTAGCTTGCATGCTCCGAGCTGACCTTGTCACCGCTGATGCCTGGACGCGACAAACTGCTCCATGAGACTACTCGCAGCACCAATTGACCGCTTTGTGGAACATCTGCGACCAGGCGACTGCGCTCGACCGAGGCTCTCGAGCATGAAGCTAGTTGAACGGCAAGCACTCGTGACTCGTTTCAAGCAAGCTCCTTTGAGTCTGTGTACCTCACTTGCCCCTTTACTAGCACGACCGAGCCGTCAAAGTAGCCGAATGGGCAGTCAAGTCGCGTACCATCATGAGTCCTCAATGTGAAGCTTTGCAGCGTCCGAGCCAACAGTCACAGTCACAATCACGAGTCCAAGTCTGAGCAGGGCTTTCCCCCGTAGCGAGCTGGCTGCCCCACGTGCATGAAGCCGCGCACGCCCGTGCGGACGGGTATACTGTAGGCTTGGATGAATCCGGGCCGGCTCAACGCGCGAGCCCGCGGCTCATCCTTCGGTGCCCCCCGTCTTCTGAAGCGGACGGGCGCGCACACGCACATGATGCACCAGCCGCGCTGCATGCAGGCAGGGAAAGAAGAAAAATGTCTGTGACCCGCGCGCTTGTTGTTGTGTCATCAAAAAGGTGGAGCTGCTGCTGCTGCTACAATCAAAGAATCACGAATGGGAAGGCTGTTTGTTGCGCTTGCCCGCGTGACCCTGGACGCTCACGCTTGCCCTTTTGAAGGAAGGCGAACCCAAAAAGTCTTTCGTAAGCAGCACATTCATCATCTAACAACTTCAAGACTCTCAGCCGCGCTGTCTCCTCCCACGTTTGTTTCGCGATAGAGAGTACGCCTACTTGCGGGGTGCTGACGCAGCAAAGAAGCGCAAACTGTCATCTTCCAGCGTCTCTCCTCGACATGGCGGCCGAAGCTGCACCTGTGGCCGCAACGGCGACTGCGACAGATCCTAGCACGGCACACTCCGCAGAGCAGACAAGTCCGAATGGAGTCGTCAGCAATGGCGTCATCCACGACGAGGAAGCAGCGTCGGCGGCCGCGGTGATGGATGAAGGTGAGAGAGGCAATGTGGCACTCTTGCCGCTCTGCACCGCTCCACATCGACTCTGACTGATTTGCTTGCGCGCACACCCTCAGATGCACAACCCTTCGAAGTCGCCTTACGCCTTCCGGCTAGACCTTTGCTGCCAGCGAATGCTGCGGCAGAAGGGTTGCCCGAAGTCCCTAGCCCCCTGAGGGTAGCAGTGACGGCGCAGGAAACGCTCAATGACCTTCGTCTTACCATCACCGACAGTCCCGAAGGCTACTGGCTGGGTGCCTTCTGCTTCAGAAGGCCCGCAAATGCTCAGACCAAGGCGAACGGCAAAGTCTCAGGTGACGACGCTGAAGCAAAGTTGGGAGAAAGGCTGGGCGAATGGATAGAGATGAAGGAAATCTTCAGGGACGTGCCCAAGGAGGATCGTGAGCTGTACGTCGCTCATGGTGAGTAGCGTGCGCCTCACATCGATTGTATGCTATGCCCTGCCCTGTAGCTCAAAGTCTACGCCCTCCTTCGTGTCAGTCCCCTTCAACGAGGCGGATGCGAGAGCACACGTGCAGCGGCTCAGAGAGCTACTCTCGAGCGGCCAGGCGGATCCCACATCGCTCGGCCTCGATGGCGGGATCAGCGTTCAAGACTCAATTAGGAACCCACAACTCTGGCTGGACGAGGCAGCTTCGAGCGCGCCCGTCGCAAAGAGCAAGGGAAACAAGCAGCAACAAGCAGCCGCAGCGAGCGCAGCCGCAGCAGAGGCCCAAGCTAGAGAGGCTCTCACCAGGACGCCATTCTTGGATGGTGCGGTGGATGCGACTGTGGGAGCATTGACCAGCTTGATGCCGGTCCAAGCTCGTGCTGCGAGGGCATTTCCTACTTGCTTGAAGAGCCTGGCTGTCTCGCATTGGAGTCCGCCCCCTCACCATCTCCGCGTGCAGCAGGGTCATCTCCTCTATCTGCAGGTCGACACGCTAGAGGGCGAAAAGCTGTTCATCACCTCCACCACGCAAGGTTTCTACATTAACCGCAGCACATCATTCACTTTTGATCCCAGCCCTCGAGAGGAGCATTTTGCCTCTGCAAGCCTTTTTGACGTCCTCTGCGGCTTCTCCAAAAGCTTCCTCAGCAACTTTTCGAAGCTCTTCAAGGACCCCGTCTCGCAGAGAGACTACTTCGCCGTCGTGCCCTTGAGCAACTGCCTACCTGCCCACCCTTGGCTTGCCAGATCCAATCCGCACCATGCTGATCTGCTGCGAAGCCAAGCTGCGTACCTTCTCACTGGTGCCGTCTCTGCCGACACCCTCGATGGCACGCGCGACTGGAACGACGAGCTGCAGAGCACAAGGGAATTGCCGCGCGCCACGCTCTCCGAACGCCTAGTCCGCGATCGCGTGCTGAACCGCGCGTATGCCGAGTTCACCCTCGCTGCCGTCAAAGCTGTGCCGCGCGTGGCGCTCGGAGAGGTGCAAGCTATGAACCCGATGGACAAGCCGGATGCGAGAATGTACCTGCACAACAATCTCTTCCTCTCCAAGGGCGCTGATGGTGTCGATATCTACACCCACCTCGGAGGTGACGAAGCTGCGCACGTGGCCGTCAGCAAGGACCTTGCGGGGATCCGAGCGCTCAACCAGCTGGACCTCGATGGACTTTGCCTGCTCGGCACTGTCGTCGTCGATTGGAAGGGCGAGAGATGGGTCGCTCAAAGCGTCGTGCCTGGCTTGTTCCGAAGAAGAGATGACGACGAAGCTTTACTCGCAGAGGGTCAAGAGTCTGGCACCGCCCCCCCGCCTGCACCAAAAGCAACTTCAGACTCCTCCAAGCCCGCCTCGGCTTCCCGAATTGACCCCAAAGAAGATACGCAGGTAGTGTACGGCGGCGTCGAGGGACCGGAAATCATTCGCACCGACCCCGTCTTTCACAAAGTCTTCGGCAAGATTGCCCGCACGCTTCATCTGGCTGAGCACAAGGTGCCGGACGCGGAGCAGCAGTCAAAGAGCCTGTGGTTGAGCGTCGACTCAAAGGGCCTTCGAGGCGCCGATGGTCGCAAATATGCGCTCGATCTGGCTCGCTTGAGCCCACTCGACGTCGAGTGGCTCGAGCGCGACTATGAAGGCGCTGTAATTGCCGACGACGCTGCAGAGATCGATGGAGCGACTCAGACCTACCCTCATCGCATGACTCTCCTTAGGCAAGAGTTGCTGGAAGTCTTTTACCACAGCGAGTTCCGCAAGTGGGCCAAGGAACAGGTCGCGGCGCGTGGCGACAGCGAAGACAAGTCATCGACCGAAGAGACGGATGCTGCGCCTCAGATCGACGCTTCCGAATTCAAGCTGGCATTCAATCCAGACGCGTTCGTCGAGTTCAAGCTGCCTGAGACTGAGGGGGCGGCGAAAGTGGAAGCTCCGTCCGCGGCAGACGGCTCCGTGCAGACGCTCATTACCGATGAGTCGGAAGCTAGCGTGGCTGCCGTACGGGCGGCCAGTAGATACCTTCGCGATACTGCCATACCACGTCTCGTCACGGACGTGGCCAGCGGTCTCTACGCTGCGCAAGACGGCACCACGCTCACGAGGCAGATGCACAGCAGAGGTATCAATGTTCGATATCTCGGCTACGTGGCACACCTTTGTCACCCTACGCAGAGAAACAGGCTGGATCAGTCGCTGCTCTCCAAGGCTGGACCTGGCCACGAAGGCTTTTTGAAGGCGTTTGCGTCGATCGTGACGCAGGAGATGGTCGTTCGAGGTGCTAAGCGCGTGCTTCGGGCCCTCCTCAAGCCCCTCCCAGCAGACCAGGCACCCTCGGCCATCTCTCACTTTCTGAACTGCTTGCTGGGTGCTGCTCTCGAATCAAATCCTCGGGCCGTGTGGCAAAAGTCGCCCTTTCATGTTGCGGCGGACGCTCCGCCCGCTTGGCTCGAAATCACTTCTCACTCTGTGGTCGCGGATGTCCGCGCCGAAGTTCGTCGACGGTACAGGTACGAGCTAGCGGCTAACTTTTTCGAAGCGAACTTCAGAAAAGGTCAGGCGCTGCGCGAGCTATCTCAGCGTTGCGGGTTCCAGCTCAAGTTGCAAGAGTATAACTTTGAGCGTGCAGACAAGCCGCTCGTGAATGGTCATGCGAATGGCGCGTCGGAAGATTCTCAGACCGAGGCGGTGACGTCTCCCGCTGCGACAGGATCGGCTCCATCGGGCAAAAAGAAGAAAAAGGGAACATTGCCTGAGACTCAAGTCGTGCCTGGCTTCACACCGGCTCGACGAGGTCCCAAACTCACGACCTTTGAGCCAGAAGACATTTTGCACCTCTTGCCCGTCGTCAAGGACTCGACGCCAAAAAGCGTCCTCGCAGAGGAAGCCTTTGAAGCTGGTCGCGTGTCCATCAGTAGAGGCGATATCAACCTCGGAGTGGACCTGCTCATCGAGGGTATCGGATTCCACGAGCAAGTCTACGGCTTGGTGCACCCCGAGGTTGCCCGCTGCTACTCGCTTTTCGCAACGATTGTGCACCACTTTGCCAGCTTGCAGGCAGTCGAGCATGACCAGCGCGTCAGGCAAGCCGTCGCAGAGGGCAAAGAGGCGCCTGCTGCGCCAGAGACCAACGAGCATCTGACGTTGGAGAATGCGGTGAGGTATCAACGACAGGCAGTCACGCTCAGCGAACGCACCTTGGGATTGGATCACCCCGAGACGCTGACGCACTGGCAAAATCTGTCGGTGTTGGAGCGAGCAGAGGGCAATACGGAAGCTTCGCTGAGATGCCAGCAGCGCGTCTTGGAGCTGTACAATTTGGTCTATGGTCCGAATCACCCGGACACGGTCAACGTCCTCAACAACATCGCCATGACGCTTCAGGCTGCCAGGCTGTTCGAACCCTCCCTCAAAATTTATACGGCAGCGCACGAGCTGGCGCTGAAGCTGCACGGAAGCGAGTCCATACACACTGCCAATTTGGCTCACGAGCTCAGCCAAGCCTACACGCTCTGCGGAGACCTGAAGAATGCTCTCAACGTGGAGAAGGAAGCGTGTCGAGTGTTCGAAGCTAGGCTGGGCAAGGAAGATAGTCAGACGAAGGAGTCGGAGCAATTCTTGCAGAGCTTGACCACATCTGCTGTGCGTTTTGCCAAGATGGAAAAGGAGCGAGAGGCGGCCGCCCTATCGTCTGGACGAGGAGCGGTCAGAAGAGGCAATGCTTTGGGTGGATCTCTGCTTGCGAATGGAGCCTCGCGCCAAGCGACGGTTGCGGGCGGATCGGCCCAGAGACTGTCAACAAACAGCGTGGTGAATGCAGCGGCGGGTGCACCGCCCAGTACGGCTCCGTCCGGCGCTGTGCCTTCTACGAGCAGCATCGACGATATAGTCGCTTTCATTCAAGGGGGGTCAAGTAGCGCCAAGGGCAAGGCAAAGTCCACAGGGGGCGCGATGAAGAGGAACCGGAAATAGGCGCCAGGAGGCAGACGCACGCAAAAAGGAACTTGGTAGCGAGTGTCGCGACCAAGAAGAAGACGCTACTTTTGTTTTCACCACTCTTACATAACCAAAAAGCTCCCCAAAGGAGCGCGCACGTTGGGGCCTTCCTCTAGTCATTGCAGACCCTTCACGTTATAATGCACTCCCTCAGCACACACTTCTCCCCACTCATATCGGCGATTGCAATGAGACATTTCCCCCGTACGTGACGCGTGGCGTTTCCAGCGAGACCAGCTGCTCGAACGTGGAGGGGCTCCTTTCGACGTCTTGCTGAACGTTTGACGAAGGTGCTGGCTGCATCAGCTCACTTGTTCCTGTTCCTCACATACAAGATATCCCCGAAATCCCGAGCTGACACCATCGCTTCTAGCCTAGATTAGCCGCGCGCTTGCGAGTCCCGTCGGATCCGAAGTCGATCGAGTGGTGAGTGGAGCTGCATTAAACCCGATGCGTCAGCGCGACGTGCAGAGGTGTGCGTGCCCCTGCCCGGCTAGCGATGCAGCCGAGCTGCCGGAGCGTTAGTCCGTCAGTCGGTCGCTCTTAAGGACGCAACTTTGTGCACTCGATGCTCTTCATCCCCTCTTCGATCTGAGCATTCAGCACTCGACAGACACGCGCGCATACATCCCAAAGCTAGCCTCGTAAGCCCGTCATGTCTTTTGACTTTCTCTCGATGATCCAGCTGATTGCGGACAGCGACCCAGCCGTCAGGCCAGCGCGCTTCCACACCAATTATAATCCCGTCAAGATGGGCAACACGGCAGATATCGCGTACGGCGGCTGCGCTATAGCTGTAGCTGTGAATGCGGCCATTGCGAGCGTCGAAGCTGAAAGGCAAAAGCGAGATAGCAGCGCATCTGCAAAGGGCAAGTCGACCGCACCGAAGAGCAAAGCGGTGTACGCTCTTTCTGGGAATTACTTGGGGCCGGCGCGAGCGGACAGGCCCTTCATTGTGGATGTCGAATCTCTGCGGGATACCAAGACCTTTACAACCATCCTGGTGCGATTGAAACAGCGCCTTGACTCTGGAGAAGAGAGGAGCTGCTTGGTAACCATTGTAGACTTTGTGGCTCGGTCGGACCTGCCTGAAGCTCAGCGCAACATCCTCACCTACAATGCCGCACCTCCAAAAGTCGCGCATCACTCCGACTTGCCCCTCGCATCCGAATGGCAGCAGCAGCGCGTTCGCGACAACCTTGTACCTCAAAAGGCGCTGGACATGTCCATAGTCTTTTTTGGCAGATTCATGGACATCGTCAACAGCAAATACCCAGACGACAGCATCTTGGGACCGAGTTTGTACGGTCTCTTGCGCGACTTTGAGACGCAGCAGGAGCATCTGTCCATCCCGGAGAAGAACAGCACGGATTGGTTTCAGTCCAGTGTAAATCTCAATGAAAGAGAGCATGGGGATTATACCGCCACCAACGCCCTTTTGCCAATCTCGACGTACGCTGCAAAGTGAGTCGTCGCTGAGGGGGTCCCAGAGCGGAGGTGTGATCCGCTGATTCTCGAACTCCCTGCACGTGGCTACAGCATCAGCCTCGCGTCGTTCTTCTTGGATGGCGCCTTGTCTTTCTTGAGTCTCTCCTTCTCTCACCGCTGGCTCGCAGATGCAGGTGCATGCTCTTCGCTCGATTTCAGCCTCCGCTTTCACGTCGACGATTTTGATCTGGCGCGGTGGCATTTGCGAGAGGTCAAGACGCACGTGAGCACGCATGAGAGAACGTACAATGAGGCGAGAATGTGGGATGAGCAAGGCAGACTCGTCGCAACCATGACCCAGGTCGGAGTGCTCAAGAAATTGCCTGAAAGGTCGCAGAAGCAGGCCAAACTCTAATTCCTCTGCATCACCGAAACGCACATCGCGCAGCAGCACGACAATCGTGCTGATGATAATGAGCATCGGGACGCACAGCACCCATCATAGAAAAGACGCCGCCGGCACGAGTGCCAGAATGGTGCAGTGGAGCCGCCTGGGAAGGCGAAAACGACGGCACGTTCGCCAGATGCCCCAGCCGAACACTGTATTTTCCTGCGCTGGCTAGTGGTCTGGCCATGCTGACTCTCCTGAGACTCTCGAGCGTGCACCCAGTGCGAGTGTAGGTGCACCTGCGAATCAAGTGGCTGACACGGCGTGGGCGTCCCAGGAGTGCTAAGCAAGCGCGCAGCACCGTGTCGTCCATCCCCTCAGCCACATTTGTAATTTTTCTCGCGAAGAAAATAATCGCACCAATCGTCTTTGTGGAGTGCCATTCTGAATATGACATATCAGCCCCGACTCCGAACCATCGGAATTGGTAAATCGTGCGAGCTCGCACGCAAGCTGTCACCCTCATTACGGGCCGATAGCCTCAAGCGGGGGTAACATTCCGGGAAGCGTCTCAGCGAATGTCGCTCATCTTTTCGGCAAGACCTTCGTGTGAAGGCATCCCAACGGCGGTGCAAACGTTGAGTCAGATAAGTCCGCGCCATCGGGCACCTGACGCAGACTTGGCCTGAGTCAGAGACCTGCAACAGACGAGCGGATGCTTACTTGACGCAGCCTATATCAATCAATCACCACATGTCAAGAACCAGTGCGGACCTCCGTCATGAATCCGGTAAGGACGGCGGTCCGAGTGTTGAGTGAGGGCTTCATCGCGAAAGCTGTGTCCGAACTTTGTATCTGATGAGACACGAATGTGTGATGGATATGTTTCCGGATCCTGCGGCTTTTACAGCATATTCGAATGAACCTCGTACCAACTGCCTCTGAAGGTCCCGAGGCTCGCATGAAAATACACCCTCTGACCAGGAAAATGAAACATGCAAACATGCAATCGATCGGGTGTGGACGCTTAGCCTTTGATCGTTGCGGATGAGCCAGCCGGACTTGACCGCCTGAAATAGCTGACGATGCCGCTGCCCGGCAGTGCGACATTTGCTATCGCCAGAACGGCGGCTTTCATGAGCTCCATCCAAAGACCCGCGCGAATTCAATCTCGAATGCGCTTTCTGCTCTCTCTGCTTCTGCGAAAGGATTGACGAGCTCGGGTGAATTAGACGTCGTGTCTGATGATTGACGATTGACAGTTATGCGACTGTGCGCAACGGCTTGGAGTTCTTGCCGCATTTTGCGCGTACCTTTGAGCAGCGCCTGTCGCCCAAGCTTCTAGGCCGCAACACTTTGCGCAATCTGTTCAGCAATCGTGACTTATCGAGGTGTTATTGCTGTGTACCGGTACTGTACTGTACCTGCGCAGGGTCGATGCAGCTAGAGGCAGCACAGTTGAGACCTCGATGAGCATGCATGATCGTTGCCTTACAAACAAACGAGTCACCCAAACTTCACGTTTCATCGATTCAAAAGCGCACTCGCTGCTTTCTCGGCTCAATATGGCGCTCACTGTGACTGGAGCTTCTCGGCGAGAGCGCAGAGCTCGTGTGGATAGCCATGTGCTTTCCGGGCTTATTTACTTCTCTCTTTCGACCTCTGGGCGATGTTTGATGATAAATTTTGTAACTAGCAAGCCTCTGCAAAGAAATGAATTTTCAGCTCCGCTACATTGCATGCGCGACAGAAGCAGAGGTCGCGCCGGCTCGTGTGAACTCCGTCGATTTGAGCCGGGGAGCAGCAGGGTTGTGCAGCGGGAAACCGACCGTCGCCTAGCGCTTTCACGTCAAAGTGGCCAGGTGCCGTTGAATCGCTCGCGACTCTTGACTGTCGGCAGCCGGAAGCCTGAATGGTGTAAACGTCAAGTGTGAATGCAAGCTGCTGAAAAATAGCGCTAGTGATGGGCCAACAGTCACAGTGAAGTTTCGGTAAGCACGCGCAGAAATTGGACAACAGTCGGCGTTCCTGCACCTCCACACCACCGAAAATTGGAGAACATTTCTCCAGAACATGCTTCAAGGGGGCGAATGAGCTTGGCTACGAGGGACCTGTCCCCGAGATCCTCGACTCGAAATTGAGCAGGCAAACGCAGTCACAGTCGGCCACGCGTTGGGAGAGGGATATACAGCACTATACTTGCGCTTTCAAACTACCTGGGGCAACGTCTCCTGTGAGCCATAGATGCGCCCCGGCACCCTTGGCACAACACTTCACGTATCAAAGCGTGCGCACCCTTTACCCTTCTCTGCGTGGAGCTGAGCAAGGGACGGAAGCATCGGGGATGTGGGCTCGTGCGCACGAGACAGCGTGCGAGTACTCCTGCGAGATCTTGACGGCTTGCATCCAATTTGCCCTGAAGTCTGCATGTTCGTCTCATCATTCATGCGCGACCTTGGCAGTCTTCGGAGAATGATGCTGTGGGCCACTGCCTCATCCCGTAGTCAGCCAAGTCCTTGCTATGCAACACCGTATCATCACTAGCGCCCAAACGGTCCCTGCCCCGGCGCCACGCTCAAGCATTCCGGTTACCGAGCGAATTCTGCTTTAGAGCGGCCCTCTTCGTCACCTCTCCGCTCTGTCACGAAACTTGGTCCCGAGGCGGTATGAAGCAATGCCACCCACGATTGCAATCGGCTGATACGACGAACCTTTCCGATGCTGACGAGTCCCGCCCGCAAGGATGCCGGCCATGGGGACCGATGATCACCTCGGGCCCACCGCATCGCGGGCCGTCTTTCGTTCACAGAAGGGTCGCGTAGTGAACACAAGAAGCCGCTAAGCATTCGCACCCGTGAACGCTCCATCCGCGCTTGCCGGAGTACGCTGAGAGCTCGGTAGAGTGTGTCGACCCCCCGGAAAAGCGAGCATGTTCGCAATTGCTGGCAGCAATACCAGTGTTTTTGTGCTCCCCTCAGGCGTAGGTCACCATAGGAGACGGCCGACACAGGAGTTTTAGGTGTTGTCGCGCACCTTCGGACACGGTCCCCTGGTTACGCAGCACATATAAGATCGCAGCGTCTTTCGCTCTCTCGACCCGTCTCTCACCTCACAAATTCTGACACACACATACACACGCACGCGCACTCACGCACACTCACGCACACACACACACACCTGTGTCTTACACATTCCTTGACCCATCGACTCAAGCACAGCACCATGACGTCCAAAGTCTCCTCGGGCTCTATGGACTACTCCCATCGACCCCACAAGCCGCACCCGAAGGACGAAGATCTGTACGAATATGTACTCCCCGATCTCACTATGAAGCAGGTCCTTGATGCCATCCCGGCTCACTGCAAGATCGTCTCCACGTACGAAGGCATCAAGATGTGGATTCGAGACTGGCTGATGGCATACGCTGCCTACAGAGCGTTCGTCATCCTCGACGCAGCCTTGGCCAGCACTTCGCCCTCCTCTCTCCCTGCCAAAGTACTAGCGGGCACACTCCTTCTCTCTGTCAGGATCTCTTATGCTCTTCTTCAAGGCACCATTGGCTCGGGTATTTGGTTCGTCGCGCATGAAGCCGGTCACCGTACCTTGACCACCTCAAAGACGGTCAACGAGGTCTGCGGCTTTATCAATCACAGCTCTATGCTCATACCTTACTGGGCATGGAGAATTGTCCACGCTAATCACCACGCCAACACTGGGCACATTGACAAGGACGAAAACTATATTCGTGAGCCCTTTCGATGCGCGGCCTTGCACAGCGGCGCTAGAGCTCACCCTTCTCGCGTGTCATGTTCCAGCCCGTACTCGCGAAGAAAAGGGACTCAAGCCGTTGCGACCTGCACCTGTCGACGACTTCACACCCCCACTGACCCCTACAAGCGCTCATCGGGCCTCGCTTTCGGAAGATGAGCATGATGGCAGCTCCTCGCATTCCTCCTCCGTCACTGCGACGGAGGACATTCAGATTCATCAGGCCATAAAGGAGCCGAGTCTCGGCGAATGGCTTGCCGAATACGCCGAGGATGCTCCCATCTTCAATTTCGTGTGAGTCGTTCAGCTGTAGTGCGACTAGCGCGGAGACGTGCAGCTGACTTTGTGGAGTGCCGACCACAGAAACATCTTTATCATGGAAGTCTTCGGCATGCCCCTCAGCGTGATCATCAACTTCGGTGGTCAGAGAAAGTACCCATATGGCACCAGCTACTTTTCGCCTTCTTCTCAGCTGTTCAAACACAAGCACAGGCATCTGATCATCTTTGGCAACCTCGGCGTTGCTGGCATGCTCGCGATTTTGGCGAACTGGATTCGGGTCAGCGGCTGGAGCCACGTCTGGTGGGCTTATTTCATGCCTTTCCTCGTGGTGCGTAGATTTTCTCTCCGACTTCGCGTAGCACCACTGATTGACAATCGCTCTCGGTGCCCTGCCTGCAGACGAACTTCATCGTCGTCATGCTGACCTATCTGCAGCACATAGATCCAGAAGTGCCTCACTTGAGCGAAGAGGTCTGGACATTCTCTCGCGGCGCTCTCTGCACCGTCGACCAGTCCTTCTGCGGTCCGATCGGTGATTGGTTCACGCACAACCTGTCCCGTTACCACGTCGTACACCACCTCTGCAGCACAAAGATCCCTGCACATCATCTGGCAGAGGCGACGGAAGCGGTCATTCCTCTGCTTGGCAGACACTACAGGTTCAGACCAGAGAAGAACCAGCTCAAGACACTCTGGCAGAATGTGGCAGCCTGCAAGACCATTGCCAACAAAACGGATCCCGTCATCTTCAACCTCGATGCAAACGGTCACGCCCGGGCCTTCCACGCCAAGTCGAAAGCAGACTAGGTCTCGCAGTAGCAGTTGGCTCGCTCGCCTTCTTGCTGTGCTATACATCCCGACGCGCCTTCCACTCTCCTTAACCTTGTCAGAAGACTGCACTCTCTACACCTTGCCCCGTCCTGGCCCTATAGAAGACCTGAGCGGCTCATCCTCATTCCCAGCCCGCAAAGTCCACCACCTTCTCTTTCCACCATTTTCCCTTTGAGCGACCGTCCTGGCATGGACATACATCCATACACGACCCATGACCTTCGCTCTCGAACATGCTTCCTGGCACAATCGTGTTTTGCGCTCTGCCCTGCCATGATCTGCTCATCAAGGTGCGCCTCCGCACTCCTTGTACCATACTGTATCCCTCCTCGTACGCTTTCGCCTTTGCCGCGCTCTGTCTCTTGACGCTCGAGCTGCCTACTCTTTAACTTCTCGGTCAAAAATGGACACTTTCCTCTCTCCTCCCTGCGCGGTTGGTCTTGACCCTTTGGAGAGTGGTGATTGCGAATCACGTGCTACGATAGCTTCCGAACCGACAGTTGACTGCTACGCGCCGCATCTACAGTACGCTCGCTTCGTGGTGCGGTCCAATCACGAATCTATCTGACTTGGCCTCCTTGCGTGGTTTGTGTGGCTTGCTCTTGCATGTGTGCGCATGAGCATGGACGCAACTTGCGCCTGCCTACTACACGAGGAAGGTAGGGTGCCCGTCATCGACGACGTGACTGCGTGCTGTCGAGCGCCTCTTCTTCTGGCGCCTCGTTCTCTGAGTTTGAAAGCCAAGTTGGCCGAGCGCTATCGGTCACAGCGCTGTCAGACTGCACCGGGAGGAGGCTCTTGATGCTTCATATCGTGATCACGTCCGGCAAGGCCATTCCCTATACTCAAAGCTGAAGAGTGCAGCTGGGGTGCGCTCGATGACGGTTATCTGCAGTTGCTGTTGCATGTCTGAGACTTGAGGGACGAGGAAAGTGCCCCCCCACCGCTCTCTTCACCGAAGCAATTCTTGGCTAGATGCACGGAGCTCCTCATATCGCTGATGTTGTTCCGCATGCAGACGGAGATGGACGTTTGTCCCTAAAGTCTGGCTCCGGCTCGTCAGCAGATGGCAAAGGCAAGTCAAAGTCACGAATGCTGAGCACGAGGAAAGTCCAGCGAGTCTGGGGTCGCTTGACACGTCGGCACGAGATCCTCATCAGAGATCCCTCTAGTCTAGTCTATGACCAGCATCTTCTCTCAGCACCACACCTTCCCTCCCCCGCACCGCTTACAATGTCTTCAGCAGCGAACAAGCACCACTCCGAGGCGGCCCACGCGCCAGTGATGCTTCAGGGGTTCGAGTGGAACACGCCAGCTGGAGGTAATCACTGGCAATGGTTGAGGGACAATGCTGCGCGATTTGCCGCCATGGGTATCACTGCGATCTGGATTCCACCTGCCACCAAGGGAGGTAACCAGGATGGCACAGGGTACGACATTTACGATATGTGGGACCTGGGAGAGTTCGAAAGGAAGCCGGGAGAAGGAGACGGGACGAGAACAAAGTATGGTACCAGACAACAGCTCGAGGAGTGCATTGGCGCGCTCAGGCAGCACCACATTGTCGTGTACATGGATTTGGTGTGGAATCACAAAGATGGAGCCGATGGGACAGAGAATTTCAAAGCTATCAAGGTGGACTCCGAGAATCGTTCCAAGGATATCTCTGAGCCGATAGAAATCGAGGGATGGACCAGCTTCACATTTCCTGGTCGTCAAGCGAAGCACAGCGGATTTCAATGGAGCTTCAACCACTTTACGGGGGTAGACTATGACAACAAGTCTGGAGACAAGAGCATCTACAGGATCGTGGGCGAAGGAAAAGATTGGGCGGATGATGTAGATGAGGAAAAGGGTGGATTCGACTTTTTGCTAGGGGCGGATATCGATCATGCTCATCCAGATGTGCGGGAAGAATTCACGAGGTATGCCAAGTGGCTCGTCAGAACATTTCCAATTGCCGGAATGCGCTTCGACGCCGTAAAGGTGAGGAGGAGGCATGCAGTTGCGCGCGCGCCGCAGACCCTGCTCACCCCTCTGCGTCCGACATGTCAGCACTTCTCCCGCGCCTTTTTGGCATCCATGGTCAAAGTCATGCGCGAAGAAGCTCGACAGATCAGGAAAGAAGCTGGCAAGGAGCCCTTTGACGAGACAGATGGGCCATGTCTCTTTGCAGTCGGCGAGCTCTGGAAAGACTCTATCGAGACGATTGTGCATTACGTGACAAATTTTGAAGGAGAGCAGATGAGTTTGTTTGATGCGCCTCTTCACTACAATTTCAAGGAGGCTGGCGATACAGCGGAGAACTTTGATTTGAGGAAAATTCTGGATGGCACGATGATGCAAAAAAGACCCATCGATGCTGTCACCCTCGTCGAGAATCATGGTGCGTCTCAATGAGTTGCGAGACACGCCTGGCCGCGCACGCTAAAGCTTCTAACTCTCTATGACTACAGATACGCAACCCGGTCAATCGCTGGCGTCGCCAATTTCTGCTATATTCAAGCCTTTGGCGTATGCTCTAATTCTTCTTCGCGCCGAAGGATATCCCTGCGTATTCCTTGGCGATCTGGACGGCTGCCACGCCGAAGGAGATTCTCAACCTTCTGTGCCCAAGATGAACGATCTGGACAAGTTTATCAAGGCGAGAAAGTACTTTGGCGCTGGTGAACAGAGGGAGTACTGGGATCATCCCAATTGTATCGGATGGGTCAGAACGGGGGCGGACGAGAATGGTGGATGTGCTGTGGTCCTGTGCAATGGAAGTGGAGATGGAGGTAAGAGGATGGAAATTGGCAAGGTGCGCTTTTGAGTCTCTATTGCTGCCCTGCTGCAGCGCTGCGTTGACCGCCCATCCATTTTGGCGTGATGCAGGACCACGCAGGAGAGAAGTGGGTAGACGTGGTTGGTTGGAGGAAGGGCGAAGTTACCATCGGAGACGACGGCTGGGCAGGTAAGTGCTTCTTCGGCTTTGCGGTCAGCGGCAGATCCTGACACTTATCTCCTTGCCGTTCCGGTGCAGACTTCCACTGCCACCCACGAAGCGCTGCCATCTGGGCTCGCAAAGATGCAGACGCTATCAAGGAATTCGCGTGACACGCCATTGCAAGTGACCGGAGGTGGATTATGACATTCAAGATTGTTGGCAGCTTTTTCCAACCAATAGATTTGGCAGATTTCCCTGGGTCTACACGCTCGATACTGACTTGACGGGTGTCCTTTGGCTATCGTATTTCGCATTGGTCTGCCAGTCAAGGCGATCTCATGTGGATGCCTCCGACGCGAAAAGTTTGTTCAAATCATGAGTCCGATGTGGAACACCTATTAATCTCCAATGCAATCACAACAAGCTTGCTTTCTGAATCAAGAAGCAATCGATCACGACTGGCAATGAAGAATCACTAATGTGACTCACACATGGTGAATGGGAACCAATGACGAATCTGTGTGAATTTTGAATCGCGAATGTCCCAAGGAGGCGCGAGGAGGAGGAAGAGGAAGTGGTCACGTGACAACATTCCGCTTCTTTGAAAGCGGGGTTCGCGAAGCCGATCGAGCCGGAGCGCGTGCAAGCCGATCAAGTGCAGCGTTGATTTCAGTCAAGAGTGGCTCTGTGCTCGTCTCGACACACATCACTGGGCATCCTAACTCCTCCTCTCTGCTCGCCCAAAGAGTCCAGGTGCACTACTAGCACCGAATGTACCTGTAGATCAAGAGCGCTTTAACGGACGTCAACGTCAACCTGACTTTACACGGCATCTTTCCTGCCCAGTCCGGGAATTTGCAACAGCTCGATTGCTGGTTCCTTGATCGGCGAGGCGCGACATGACAGACCCATCCGGCTCTTCGCCCGCCCTAGCGGGACCTCAATCGTCGATCACAAACGACTCCTCCGGCCGTTCTGAGCAGCAGCAGCAGCAGCAGCAGCAGCAGCAGCAGCAGCAGCAGCACGCGCAAGCTGTGCGCTTTCTCACTTCTCTGCGAGCCCATCAATCCACCGCTGTCGCTGGCAGCGCAAAATTGGAGGAGGAGGTGCGCTCTGAGCAGCGAGGATTTTTGAAAGCCAAAGGATTGAGCGAGGACCAAATTGCTGCTGCCTTTAGGGAGGCAGAGAGACCAGCTTCTGACGCGATGGCAGGTCAAGCAGCTCCAGCTCCAGCTCCAGCTCAGACCAGCATTACGGCGGAGACGAGCGAAGAGAATCAGGCGTGGAGAGCTGCAGCTACTGCTTTCAACGATCCTTTGCATGCCGCACCTGGATCTACCTTGCTACCTCTCCCTTCCAAGGACTATCCCGCTTCACCGCTGGCATTGTATTACGAGCAGAGAAATGGTAGAGCGCAAGAGTCCGTCCCTACCACGCCAAGGGATAGATACAAGGTGTTGCTCAGGTTCTTTGCTACTCTGAGCTACGCATCCGTGCTTGGCGGTGGCATTGCAGCTGTCGCTGTTGCGCTCTACAGGGTGAGTGGAGTCCGAATCGCGCTAGGGATGTCGCCGTTACTCATACCTTCATCAACAAACTCTTGAGGCATATATCCTACCTCGACTCACAGAGACGCTCTCAGCTCGCTCTGCCTTGTTGAAGCATCATCACACACAATACGGCTCCTTGTTGGAAAAGATACGCCTGGTCGGTAAGCAGGCCATCGGGGGTCCTGTGCAGGCCGAGTCGGCGGATGAGCCGGCAGACGTGGCGCCTGAAACCGCAGAGGAAGGCAAGAATGGCGTCGCCACAGCAGTCAAGAAGGTGACTTTCAGTGACGAGGTGGAGAAAGACGACTCTTTGAAGTCCGAGACGGCGGCGGCCCCGCTTGCGGATCCATCAGTAGAAGAGAAAGAGACAAAGAGCGCAATGAAAAAATCTGCATCTTCGACATCCATTCCCTCTGATCCGAGCTCCCCAAAGAAGAGCGTGGCGGGTCTGGATGCTGAGGGAGAGGCTGTAGTAGCAGTGGAAAAGCAAGAGCAAGAACCTCTCAAGCCGATTTATCTATTCGACGATCTCTGCGCCAGCTTGACTCGACTTTCGACGGCGCTCAAAGGCGAGTTGAGACCGACGGATGCTGGCGTTCGGGGCTCCAAAGCTCCTGCTCGGTCTCGACTTCCTCCAAATCTGGGGTCAAAGCAAGCGACCGTGTTTTCCGAATCGTCCGCCGATGAAGATTGGGAGTCTTCCTTGTCCGCATCCGAAGGGGAGGGCACGCACGCAGAGGAAGAAGAGGACGAGTTGGAATTCGATCCTTTTGCTCCCATACCGCGAAGGCATGCGAGCAGTAAAGTTCGACGTAGAGTAGGTCCTTCCAGTCGACTGGGTGGCGGCAAACACTCGCCTTCACCCTTGTCCAACTCTTCTACCGATGCGCACACGACCAGACAGGGACAAGGCCAAGCACATGCTTCAAGTTCCAACCCCAAAGAGCTCTATTCAAGACTGAGCAACCTCAACTCCTACATTAATGCGCAGAGCTTCTTAACCAGTACAAACGACATGGGGAGGTACAATGGACCGTTGGGCATCTCCAATTCGAGCAGCACCTCCACACCATCGGGTTACTTGAGCGCTTCTGCGAGCGAAAATGAGAGCCCTTTCAAAGCTAGAGGAACGGCCACTGCTGCTACCGCCACGAGCGGCAGCGGCGCGACGGACACTTCAGCTGCACCAACTGCCGTCAGAGCGACGGATGTGAATCAGGTAAAGGCAGAGATCAGAAGTTTGAAAGGTCTCTTGTTGAGCAGGTGAGTACCGTGTCCCTTCCCTGGCATCTATCGTCAAGGCCGCTACATGCCTGGAAAGGGAAAGGCTTCGAAGTGCGATGCGCGTCATTGACATGTCACATTCTTTGCCCATTCACCGCCCACTCCTTCCCCCTCCCACCTTCCCCCCTTTTTTTCTCTTCCTCTTGCTAGACGAAATTTCCCCTCGTACTCTCGTCCGCCCGTCGTGCAGTCTTCTTGATCGGCATTAAGCCGGCGCCGCATGCTCTCTTGCCCCGGCCGGGTCCAAGCCGCACGAACATCGCCTCGACAATGCACGTTGTACCAGACCTTTGCGCTCAATCGAGTGTGCGAAAAAAGTCTTGCTTCATCTTGTCCCCTTTTCCGCACTTTTACATCCCCTCGCTCAAAGCTTCTGATCGCGGCGCAATGTCATTGTACGAGAGATATTTTCAAGTCGAGTTTTTCTTTTGATCATGGGTTCGAGCGGTCCGAAGGATTCGCGAGGGCGTATGGTACAATGTGGAATCGGGAGATAGCTGCGCAAGGGGGGGAAAGGCAAAGGCCGCTCGCTCATCTGCCCGGACCGCACCCGACGACGAAGCTTGCATCTCCTGAAGGAAAAGGGTCAGTCCACTTGCATCGTATGCGACAGTAGCAGCGTCTTTCCTCCCAAATCCTCGACGCCATGCTGCGCTTTTGCAGGGTGCATGCCTGCCGCATCCCCTTGCGTTTCTGCGCTCGACGGGTCGTGAGATCTTTCTTGCTGTTGCTCTTGCTGATGCTTCGACCATTCATGCAGCTCATCGCCCCTGTCCAATTCGAAGGAGAGCCCAAGGGTTTGAATCTCTTTCCGCATCTCTTGACAGCGTCTTGCATGAGCAAGGCAGGCAGATAGGTATGGCAAAAGAAGACGAGCCGAAGAGGTGTGAAAGGGTGAGCTGATGCGATGTGATGTGGTGGACCGATGCGCCTCGACGAGAGATTCTCTGGTCCTCTTGAAAGACTGATGAGGATGTGGCGCGCGCCTACAAGACCGTTCCGACTCACAAAGCGAGCAAACGCGTTTGTTCTTTTCTCCGATCAATCTGATCCCGCATGAGCTGTTTGAGATCTTTACGAGCCTTTCGCGACGAGGAGGGAAGGAAAGTGGGGACGATCCGCGCGGAAAGTGACGTGGACGCAATGTTTCGCAAAGGAGGTCGATGTCAACCCTAGCAATTTGCTGAGTCGCATCGCGTCGGAGCGAACAAGAATTGCCTCACCTGTCTAGGCCTGATCTCGTTGATGAGATGTTGGATATTGATGCAGATGCTCCGCAAATGTTCCCACTGATCTAGAGCTGTATACCTCTCCACCGCCTGTAGCTGCTGCTGCTGCTGCTGTTGCATCGCGTGTTGTCCTCCTTGCATCCCCACCCCTGCTCCTCCATCAAGTCCCCCATTTCCGACGTTTTGCCAAACTGTGTAATCGGCCGGCGGGTGAGTGAGGGTATTGACGAGCTGTAGTTGCGTCATCAAAAAGCTTCGAAGGAGAGTCAGGAGCGCTGCTCGATAGTCTATTCGGACGGACGAAAGAAGAAGTATAAGAAGAAGAACGAAAATGTGCGAGCAAGCGTGCGTCAAATCACTGCCGTACTCGTCGGATGCCACCTCTTTCC